GACAGCGAAACTATTATTATAGATGGACTATCTAAATACATACATTTATCTTTCCGCCCAAAAACACCCATATCAGAAATACAGTCAAAGGGAAACAATTGCAAAAATACTTCGTAATTCTAGAAAGTATTGTTTTTGTCCTTGGTAGCTTTATTTTTCACTCTTTTATGTGTATAAACATCAATTACATATGATTTATTACGTTTATTCGCGTTTTCGCGACATCCTGCAACAAAACATAAGAATGTACTTAGGTGGCAAGTACTGAGGAAAGTACCCTTTGCAGTGCTATTGAGTACCTATATCACGGGCATTATAATGGCATTTAGTACCAACAACTTAAGTACTGAGTACCCACATCAGAGACACTGAGCACTCACAGATTCAGCACTAAGTACCATAACAGTAGCACGTAGTACCACACGCAGAAACATTGGATACCAACATCATTAGCAGGAAGTGCCTACACCAGTGGCACTGGGTACCCAGAGGTGTCCGGTCATAAAAAACCCTGGACAAAAACCCCCTGGACTAAAAAACACCCGACATAAACCCCCTGGACAAAAACCCGGGAGCCGTACCCAGAACAGTCGCACTGAGTACCCACAACAGCTGCATTGAGCGTGGAGAAAATAAACAAAGGCAGAACACTATCATTAAAATAGTATTTGTTGTTAAGCTGTGTGTATATAGCAAATATAAGTCAAATGAGAAATATGCGTCTTTATTAGTTGATCCTGAATAGGAGTTCACGGAAAGGGCGTAACCAGGGACAACTAAGGCTTTACACATTGGGGAAGTCTTTTTGTATGTAGTGTGTTACTGTAGAGTGTAGACTCACTGCAGAGCAATAGAACCTTGACAGCAATGCTTCAGAGTATCTATTCATAAGAGAAAGACTATGAGCAGGTGCAGCAGAGTTATGTAACTCTATGCTTGAGCTAATAAAACTATAGCTCTCATGAATTTTACAAGTGAGTTTTTGCTATTCTATTGTTTGTGCGTTGATATTTAGAGAAATGTCGCGAATTCGCTAAATACCGTAACAGTGTTGAAAAAGATATGTAACCATACTAAATATTTTCAAAAGCCGTTAAAAAAATAAAGCAAACGATGAAATTATAATTACATCTGTAAAAATTAAAGCCGTTTGGGATACATCGATTACACTCAATTTGGTATCGAATGTAAGCTGTTGAAAAGCCGTTTAGAATTGTTTTCTCAATTTAAATATTTTAAAAAAAAACGCCCTTAACCACTCATTTAAGTAAACCAGAAAGGCCAGGAAAGGTAAAACAATGAGTCAGAACAATAGAACGACCGCATTATCACCACAGCCAACTAAAATAGTAGTTTTGGGATAAAGCAGGGATGGCCTAAAAATGTGGAGAGCGTGGGAGTTCGATAAATGGTAACATAAAACCTCTATTCAATTGTAACACGCGATTCCGTGAGTGAAGAGCAATGAGCGTTTTAAATACGCATATTGATTTTTTTGTCAAGATGGATTATACTGTCAAGAGAAAAGATTTTTTTTTTTTTTTGGAGAGCGTTGATGATTTAGAAGAAGGATTTTATTGTAGGGGATGTTAATTTAAAGCGCCATGTTAGTGAGATGTGCGTGTGTGTGTATGTGGGGGGGGGGGGGTTGTGAGTGAGTTTATTCTGTCTGGCCTCATTATTTGCTTATTAGAGGGTGTGGATGGGGGAGATACCAGTGATATTAATCTAAAATAATCAGTGTGAAGGGCAGTTATTATAGTAATTTAGTGTGAAGTTAGGTGTTTATCATGTGCGTAATATTTTTGTAGGACAACAACAGTACGAAAAAAAAAGTTCGAGCGCATAATTACATTAATTTTTTTTATAAAAAACCGGGAGTGATTTCCCCTAAACTCTGACGAATATTCTTATATAAAACAAAAGGGGATGGGAACTCCATTTTAAAAAGGCCTATCATCAATACATACACTAGTACTCAAATAAGATACAGTGGCTATCTAACAGTACAGAATATCTAACAATACATAACTAAACTACATTAACCTTGTGGACTAAACTTAAGTTGAATTCATCAAAGATTATAAATTACTGGGCCCCCTGGACAAAAACTATTTTGGACATAACCGCCCCCCCCCACCCCGCGACATAAACCCCTGGACAAAAACCCCCCGCGGCATAACCACCCCTGGATATAAACCCCCCCCCCCCCCGACTGAGGTTTAATAAGGAAATAATAACGATGATGAGAACCAAGAAAAACTAAATTAAATTAAATTAATGTAATTTTTAACGACTAACGATTCTGGTGCCGAGTCAAAAGTAGGATGTTTTATTTGGAAGTAAGGACAACCTTAGCTTATTGGAGATTAATCAGCACTGGTTTATGGATGGTACATTCAAGATTATGATTATGATTATGATTATGATTATGATTATGATTATGATTATGATTATGATTATGATTATGATTATGATTATGATTATGATTATGATTATGATTATGATTATGATTATGATTATGATTATGATTATGATTATGATTATGATTATGATTATGATTATGATTATGATTATGATTATGATTATGATTATGATTATGATTATGATTATGATTATGATTATGATTATGATTATGATTATGATTATGATTATGATTATGATTATGATTATGATTATGATTATGATTATGATTATGATTATGATTATGATTATGATTATGATTATGATTATGATTATGATTATGATTATGATTATGATTATGATTATGATTATGATTATGATTATGATTATGATTATGATTATGATAATGATTATGATTATGATTATGATTATGATTATGATTATGATTATGATTATGATTATGATTATGATTATGATTATGATTATGATTATGATTATGATTATGATTATGATTATGATTATGATTATGATTATGATTATGATTATGATTATGATTATGATTATGATTATGATTATGATTATGAATATGATTATAGTTATAGTTATGGTTATGGTTATGGTTATGGTTATGGTTATGGTTATGGTTATGGTTATGGTTATGGTTATGGTTATGGTTATGGTTATGGTTATGGTTATGGTTATGGTTATGGTTATGGTTATGGTTCTGGTTCTGGTTCTGGTTCTGGTTCTGGTTCTGGTTCTGGTTCTGGTTCTGGTTCTGGTTCTGGTTCTGGTTCTGGTTCTGGTTCTGGTTCTGGTTCTGGTTCTGGTTCTGGTTCTGATACTGGTTGTGGTTGTGGTTGTGGTTGTGGTGTTGGTGTGAACGGGATGTGTTTTTGATGCTAGTGGGTTATCCCCCCACCCCCCCTTGTTTCCCCCGACACCTGAACTGGGACAGCCGTTACCCGAAATGAAGGCATCCCCGCCCCACCTAGCGATGTGCAGGCTAGGGGAAGTACCGGTCGTCTGGTCTTTGACCTGAGTCCATCCCTGCTGACCTGGGATGCAAATTTGGGGAAACACGTAATGAGATACCCTATTGTATTCGAGGTTAAACCAAAGCATAGACCCTAAGTTGGGTGGTGAGGGCCAGAGAGATAGGACAGTTGAACGTTAGCCTCGTGAGGATGTAGACGTGTTTTGATTTGTAATGTGTGGTAGGACTGGCCCCTAAGGCCGGCCACTATTGATGAACACATTTCTCCTCTTTTTTAGACCATACGAAGACTATCATGTAGTGTTTAGTTTCACTATCGATTAAATTGAATTAACTGAGTTGAGATTGTGTTGGTGTCTCCTTTAACAATCAAGTAATCTACTGTTTATTTGTTTAATTCACCACACAACTGTTTGACCTTTCACTGCAGTCATCAACGACATCAAATTATGTACCAATTATATTGATGACGTCATAACAGGATAGTAGTATTTATTATATACTAAAGTTACGTTCCCTTTAGGACCTGATGGCAGATGAAGTAAAGATCACAATATTATATGACCTCGGCATAAAGGTATAGTTTATTCATAACTATGCTGTCTTTACTTTTTCTAAATCAGATACCCATCAGAGTTGGGTGGTATAAGGGACGAACAACGACTCTAGCCTGGGACCAGAACATGAGATTTTTCGGTTAGCAGTCGAATGTTCTACCATTCTACCACGCCGTCCCATGTATATTTTTAACACGTTTTTCTTAACTCAGCTTCGCGTTTGTTTGTTTGTTTGTTTGGATGTTTGTTGTTAAAATTGACATCGAAAATTAGCCCACTTCTGATTGCTCTACAGATCTGAAATTTGGCATGCAGGTTACTTTCGCCTAACAATTTCAGATGCAATCATAAAAACTAGCAATTAGAGACCGTAATTAGCTTAATTTAATTACGCCCCAAGGACCATAAAATTGAGGACATGATTTCTAAAGATACCGACAAGACTGGAGGCCTATAGACACAGTTACTTCAGCCCCAATCGATGTGAGCGCGCTGGCCGTGATCGTATAGTGGTTAGTACTTCGCGTTGTGGCCGCGACAACCCAGGTTCGAATCCAGGTCGCTCAAGATTTTTAGTCCGTGTATTTATAAACACTTAGTCAAGTCATACTTAATCAAGTCATTAGATAAAGTAGAAAATAAACTATATAAAAAACTTTTTTAAAAACCACGTTTTTCATGTGTAAAAACGGACTAAAAAGGAGAAAATAAAATACTTTAAAAAAACTTTTTAAAAAACCACGTTTTTCTTGTGGACTAAAAAGTAGAAAATAAATTTTCATACATTTGATGACAAAAAACGTGGGTCGGGCAGATGGGTCGGGAACTTTGATGGTGAACGTACCCACGTTTTTTGTCATCAAATGTATGAAAATTTATTTTCTACTTTTTAGTCCACAAGAAAAACGTGGTTTTTTAAAAAGTTTTTTTAAAGTATTTTATTGTATCTGTAAACGTAAACGAAAGTGTATATTCAGGTCATGTGTATTAAGTATCTGTGATTATATACAAAACACCAACTCTGAGAAATATTTATTATGATTTCCCAAGCATTTTATTTTTTTACTCTAATCACAATATAAATTTTAGTAAACACCATTTTCGTGTTTGGGTACAAGGCCGACCTTACAAATTTAATTGACGGGTCTTATCTTCATTTCACTGTAGGACACAGAGGCGTAAACCCCGGTTAGTGGGTTCCAGTTCATCCCCTTGTATTGCTCTGTGCTTCCCCACAGTCCATTCAAGTTGGACATGTGACATTGTGAGTACCAATAGCCGCCTTGCAGCTGAACCGCGCAGTTGGTATCAGGACGTCTGTCGTTGTCCTGATCAAAGGTGCTAAATTTAGAATCGTAGTGGGTCAAGAACCCATCGACTGTGTTTCCAGAAAACCCGCTAAGTTTTAGTCTGTAACCTTCCTGTTCCCCGTAGACTTGAAAACGTGAGTACTTCGCGTAGTAGCTGTTTTGGTTAAACTTTAGATCAACGCGTAACTGGTAACTTCGAAGTGACGTAATTCGGTGAATATGTTCGTTGCCCAGGTAAAAGTCGCCGTTGAAGTTGCCGAAGCCGTATTTGTACTCCTCCCAGCCACGGTAGAATGACGTGTTTCCGTCCACTCGTCTCTGTATGACCGTCCAGCCGCCTCCGTCTGTCTGTGTGTCGCACATCACTTCCAGACCGCTGGCCAGGATGACGACAGGTCTGGGGTCAGTGCTGTCCACGTCTCGACAGGTGTCCGGTGACGTAGGACAGCTGACTTCCACTCTGCCAAAATTGTGTTTGCTGTCATTGTTGATGCCTTAAAAATAAAATGCAAGTTTACATATGTATGTTTGACCGTCGACCATAAATGAGCAGTTTTATCTGATCTTTCCCTTTTCTCAGTAGATTAGCAATAGCTTGTGGCGTTACAAAAAAAAAACATATTAGACCTCTCCCAAAATACGAAACATTTCTATTCTCATATCTTATAAACTTATAATTCCACCAAATAAGTTATTTATTCTGATGTATTTAAGAAATATGAAATGTACATTACGCCCGATTCCCCCCCCCCCCCCCCCTTCCCCCGCCTTTCGCCAACCTATTAGGGATTATCTAAATGCTGGCATGACTATAAATAAAAGCCTAGGCGCTCAATGTTATACATTGCATCTAGTTCTTATGTTATACAACGTAAACCCATCAAAGAACTCCCTATGACAGTGAATACATTCTCCATAAGTGAGCGTATTGGCTTTTTTCTCTAATCATACCAGCCTATACCTTTAGTAAGATTACACCCAACTAACAATATTTCAGAGTATATTACTATGTAGCACAAATACAGCGATAAGAAAAGCCATCTAACACATTCAAGCTTACTTCACACATTACTTACAGTAAGAAGTAAATCTACCTCACACATTACTTACAGTAAGAAGCAAATCTACCTCACACATTACTTACAGTAAGAAGCAAACACCTCTAATAATACCATCGCTCCAATGAGATACCAAACCAAACACCTGTAACCCATCTTGATCTGTTAACTTGTTTTCTTGTTATCGGAAAGCCAACTTTAAAATCTTATAACTTAGGGATAGCTTTATGTAGTAAAGCAAACCCGGATGGTACATATTATTGTACCACGTGATAAGATGTTTAAGTTACATAATAAACATCGTTCTACATCCGGGTTTTACACAAGTAATGAAATAAATGTACGCGATACACAAGCTAATAAAATCTTGATCTTTTATTTCACACGACACACTTTTTCCTGACCTGTAGGCTACTTTCATTGGCTATAAAAAAAATCTCGATCGTCCGACGTCATAAACATCGCGGCAAATCGGCCACCCGTAAAAGGAACTTTGTTAACAGGTCTTGCGTTAAAAAGACCCTGTTTACATACATCTCAACTAAAGGGCTGTCGTTAACTGTGCTGCTTTCAACAGGACTATCAATTTGGCCCCCATCCAAATGGCTCCTGCCAGTGGCGTAACAGGGGGGGGGGGGTAAGGGGGGTCATAACCCCCCCCCCATAGACCCCTCGGTATATACATAAAAAGTGTGAGGGGGTGCAAATCGAAAGTTTGAGGGGGGGTGCAAATCGAAAGTTTGAGGGGGGGGGGGGTGGGGGTGCAAGCAAATCGAAAGTTTGAGGGGGGGGTGCAAATCGAAAGTTTGTCCCCGGGTAAAAATTGGAACCCCCCCCCCCCCCTTGAGACGATCCTGGCTACGCCACTGGCTCCTGCCAATACGGCTTCCGACAAAGACCGCCGTTAAAATGGCCAGCGTCAAAACGCACCAGCCAAGCACCAGCCTTAAGTTAAACTACCGATATTCATTTCGCTCTCGCTTTCTATAAAACACCAGGAAACAAAACGAAAATCATCAATCTGCACAGTGCTTTTACTATAAGCTTTTATTTAGTTCCCAATGTCTGATTGGTTTTTTTATTTGTTTATGGTTTGTTGTCAACGTAAAATAGTAAGTTTTAGTGTGTTACTTGTAATAGTAAGTTAGTTCATCAAGCAATACATACCATAACTGTGCAAATACTTGCTGGAATCATATAATTTAACCGGTAGAAAGTCTGCGCCACATAACTACCGGGAATATTGTAAAGCATAATGTAGTTTCGTTATGGTCATTATGACTGAGCTACAACTGAATGTGCGCAGTTTACTACAGCCTTATTAGAATGGTTACAATGTCCGACGACAAAGTGACAATTCCGTGCACAAAGTTTACGGCCTGTGGTAAAATAAAAGCTCCGCTGCTGATACACGTGTGGGATGAAAGTATCATAATAGGTAACTGATATGTGTACTCAAATGGTACCGTGAACGACGTCATGGGCAGGGATAGTTTAAGTCAAATAAGTATTAAATTGCCCCGTGCGCTATGACAACGGCAGTGTAAAGTTTACTTAAGGGGGTAGGCTCCGGTAAAAACATATTTTTTTATACTAAAGAGCAAACAATTTTTTTCTCTACAGCTACGTCCGCATACTATGTGTTTTCATATTCATAATAATATATAACACTGCGTGGGATGGCAACTAGGGATATAGACATGATTTTAAATCTATTTTTACTTTCTCGTGTATACGAAGTATAGAGAAAGTCTTGTAATCGTGCAAAAAAAATATCGAGATTTTTGCAAATATCGACGTTTTAGGGCTCCCCCAAACTTTCTCGAATATTCTTATATAACACTACGTGGGATGGCAACTCGGAATATAGACATTATTTTTAATTACTTAAACTTTTAAAAATAGAATAGAATATCCTAGAAAAAAGAATTGTGCTCCAAGCGAACGCCAAAACAAAATGTGTATAATAGTGCGGAATATTATTAGTACTTTATAAATTCACATGCGTTTTTTGAGAAATCGGAAATAGTGAAAATAACTACTTCCGGTCAACGGAAATTACTCAAAATTTGAAATAAGGCAGTCGATTAGATCTTTTACTCACATGTGAAATTTCATTTCTTTATCTGAAATAGTACTAAAGTTATAGGCTTTTGAAAAATTAGAATAAAAATTTAGAATAATTCCTACTATTCTACCGCCCCCCCCCCCCGAATATATACTTTTAACAGTGTCCGCCCCCCCCCCCCCCGAAGAAAGTCTATCGCCCCCCGAAAATTTCAATTCCCCCCCCCCCCCCCCCCCCCCGGAGAAAAAAAATCTGGAAGAAACACTGTATATGTTCATGTGACGTCACGTCACGTGTGACTGAAAGTTTTTTGCTTTGCTTGTGTTTTCTCTAGAGCGTTTTCAACAAATAGTGACAGATAAATAGAGTGACAGAATAGTGAAAGTAATATTATAGATAGAAGATGAATATTATTGCCCACACACAATAATTAAATGCTTTCGCTCTCTCTCTCTCTCTCTCTCTCTCTCTCTCTCTCTCTCTCTCTCTCTCTCTCTCTCTCTTCTACTTTATTACTTGAACTCAATAAAACTTTGTTTGACAGTCAATATACAATATTTCGAATTGCTGTCACCCTTTAAATGGTGTTACCCGATTTGGACCAACCCCTACCCTGTGAAGGTACTGAGTAGATTTCTATTGCAAAGGTTCTATCAATTTTACAAACCCTTATTATTCTTTTAATAATGCATTTGATTTTTACTTTCTCGTATATACGAAGTATAGAGAAAGTATTGTAATCGTGCAAAAAAAAAAAAATCGAGATTTTACAAATCTCGACGTTTTACACCTCACTGATACGGAAAAACATAATTTTGCAATCTTGTCCGTATGTCTGTGTGTCTGTGTGTGTGTGTGTGTGTTTCTGTGTGTAAACACGGTTACTTGAGTACCGTTACTGCTAGGTTGATGAACTTTCATATATAAGTATTTTATCAAAATCGTAGATCCGTATCAACTTTTGAGCGATTTCCGATAACCGGAAGTGGTACTTTTTCTACTTTGAATTTTTCAAAAGCCTATAACTTGAGTACTATTTCAGATAGACAAATGAAATTTCACATGTAAGTAAAAGATCTAATTCTCTACCTTCTGTTAAATTTTGCGTAATTTCCGTTGACGGGAAGTACTAATTTACGCTATTTCCGATTTCTCAAAAACGCATCTAAATTTATAAAGTACTAATAATATTGCGCACCATTATGAACATCTTTATTCGGCGTTCGCTTGGTGTGCAATACTTTTTTCTATGAGATTCTATATTATTTTAAAAAGTTTATGTATTTAAAATGGATTAAAAATCATAACTATATCCCGAGTTCCCATCACCTGTTGTTTTATATAAGAATATTCGAGAAAGTTTAGGGGAGATCACTCCCGGTTTATTTAAAATTATGAATAATTTTTTTTTCTATTTTTATCTATCTAGGTTCTAGATCTAGAGTTACGGCAAAAACTAGACTTAACCAAACCAATCGTAGAATCTAGATAATTCTATCTAGAACTATATAAAAATGAGTTTCTATACTAAACTATTTCAGACCTTCATTATTTTATATAAATCTTTGTTTGTCTAGCTATAGAATTGGCTAATTTGAGATAAAATTTAATTTGAAATAACACTAGATCGAGGGCCTATTCATGTAAATCAAGTTTCTTAAGCAGACTCAAACTAGTAATATAGTGCACGGAAAAAAAACGTCATTGCCGTAAAGAGCCTAGATAACTAAATTATTAGTGTTATAGGCTCCCATGCGGGTGGCACGGGTTCTAGACACATAATGTCGATGTTAAATTTGTTTTTCATTTTTTTTGGAGTGAATGATACAGTTGCATATCGGAACTTGGCGGGATACAGGGCAGGTGAAGTAGAGATCACCTGTTTCTTTGTCCTCAGCATATGACATAGATAGTGTGGCCAAAGCCATGCTCGGTCGAAATCTTTTTTTTAAACGATAAACGAACAGACATGTTGTCTGAGACTTGGCCGAACACTGGGCAGGTGAAGTAGTGTTGGGTAGGTGTATAGTTCACCTGTTAATTTAGCATATGAAGAGACAGTGTGGTCAGACCCATGCTCAGTCGAAATCTGTGTTTTCAAAGGCAAAAACATTTCTAAGTTGTGAGGATACGAGGCAGGTGAAGTAGAGTTAACCAGTTTTTGTGACCTCAGCATATGAAGAGATTGTGTTGTAAGACCTATGCTCAGCCGAAATATGTGTTTTTTAAAAGACAAAAACGCCTGAGGTGTGACGTCTTTTTTAATGTGGGGTCTGTTTTTTTTTTGTGACGATAAGTGATAGACGTGATGTTTTTTTAAGGATGAACCCCGAAACCCACAGTTATCCAAGGGATGACGGGTAGTCTAGTATATAATATATTAATGTGAAAACAATGTCGTCATCACCATAACACCTTCTAGACTAGATTAGATACTATCGAAATGACCATGGGACGTGTGTTCTCGAGTGCGGGGATAGGAAAAGGCTCAAGTCTGTCATGTATTTGTGGAAGTCATAAATTCACCTACCACTTCCACAGCCCGTTCCATAGTTTTTTTGAGTGTTTTTGCTGGTTATAGTCTAATTAATTTTAAAAAGGTGAAATTTAAAAAAAAAGAAAAATTTAGAGTATCATTATCAATTTGTATTATTTTACTTTACTAAACGATAGGCAATGTAAAGCTGCTCTTTTACATATTAATGTGGTGGAACTATGTTGATGTGAACGGGATGTGTTTTTGATGCTAGTGGGTTATCCCCCCCCCTCCCCTTTTCCCGTCCCACACCTGAACTGGGACAGCCGTAATCCGTGTCCAAACAGCTGACATGGGATGCAAATTTGGGGAAACACGTAATGAGATACCTTATTGTACTCGAGGTTAAGCCAAGGCATAGACCACAAGCTGGGTGGTGAGGGCCAGAGAGATTGGACAGTTAAACGTTAGCTTTGCTAGGATGTAGATCTGTTTTGTTTGTAGGTGTGGTAGGGCTGGCCCCTAAGGCCGGCCACTATTGATGAACCCATTTCTCCTCTTCTTTACACTATACTAAGGCTATCATGTAGTGTTAAGTTTCACCATCGATTAAATTGAATTAGCTGAGTTGAGATTGTGTTGGTGTCTTCTTTAACAATCAAGTAATCTACTGTTTATTTGTTTAATTCACCACACAACTGTTTGACCTTTCACTGCAGTCATCAACGACATCAAATCATTTACCAATTATATTGATGACGTCATGATAGTAGTATTTATTATATAGT